CTTTTCAAATATCATGGAGAGTGGCTTGGCAACTATATCAGTCAATTCCCTCAGGACTCTGGGATGCATCCCTGTGGGATGTATGACTGGGAGAACTGGCATCCCTCCCACATGTGACCAGAACACCAGTGTCTTATAGCAGGCACATTAGGAGCCTCTGGCCAAAGATGAGAGAAAGTGGATAAATTTGGCAAGACCTAGACATTAATTCAGTCTTTTTATTATGGAGGCTTTACTGGGAAAGAGCTCATTTTTTCCTCAACTTCACTCTGTGCTGGAAGTGACCCCAGACACTTTAGAAGCATGAATTATATCCATACCCTGCGTTGTTCTTGAGGAGAAGTCAAAGAAAGAAATACAAAACCTAACATAGAACTAATTATTGTTTTGCTGGGATTTACAGAGGAGCAAAAGGGTGTTGAGCGTGTTCATGAAGCGCAGCTTACTGTGTTTGGCTCAGGGCCGGAATTACTACTGGTGAATTTGGTTCTCCCTTTAGCTTTGTGCTTTCCCCAGAGCACCACCAGGGAGTAAATGGACAGCTCTTATTTTACAGTGACAAAAGTAAAACTAGAAAAAAACATACAGAAATGCAGGAAGGCAGCCAGGAAGGAAATAAGTGAATAATGACAAAACCAAGAGGCTTTTCACCTCCAAACGTGGACAACAGTTGTGATGCAACCAAAACCCGACATGTCACTCCTTGCCATATTTTCTCGTTTGTACTGACTCATGTGCGGCCCAGACAGAACCAGCATCCCAGGAGAGGGCGTGCAGTCATGCCCAGACCCGTAGGTCTGAAGAGCCAACGTATGCTCAGGGACAGACAAGGACCCCAGCACCAGTTGCAGTGAGAAGAGAGAGCTCCAGAGCAAGAATAACTCTGCACTGGGGCAGAACAAGAGGAAAGTGGGCTCCTATATGGATATACTGTGCGTGCACAAACCACGAAACCAGCAGACATGCCCTGGGCTGAGGAATGCCCAGAGCCCACTGGCAGCAGCATCCCTATGGTTAATCCTGAGGGGAATTACTGTACCTGCC